TCATCATCATTACCCCAATGCCGCAAAGGCTCCCACCTATGTTGGGGTAAGAGAGTTCGATGTACGCAGTCTTACCCCGGTACTAAAGCATGGAGAGACTGTTTCCGGATGACCAATAGTGAAAATCATGTCGAAAATCACATGGACTGACTGCTGCTTCATAATAAAGAAGCGCAAACAGTTTAGTGAGCCATTTTGTTTTATTCCATCATATTCCCAATTCAAAAAATAGTGAGTCTTCAGCTCCATTGCAAATGATGGAAAATTTAAAGTAGTTACCCATTTATCCATATTTATATTAAAGTTTCTCAGGTTTTATCAAAAGACTTCTTGACAAGACAAAGTGCAGCATCACTAGCAATATGATTATACAGCTCATTTTTTATGGTAAGAGGCTGATTGCTGTGATTTCTGGCTTTTTTGGCTGCAGATGGGAGCTTATTTGTATATTTTCAAAAATAGTTTTATTCCACCTCTGTTGAATTAACTTGGTTTTGAGGTACACATGAAATACATCATATTATTTCTGGCCCCAATGATGTTGGTTCAATTTAAATAATTGTAGGTTGTGACTTGTGAGACCAAATGAAGCAGGATCGCCATTCCCAGCATTCTACTACTTGTCTTGTCTTATTTAATTTTCCGTTACTTCAGTTTTCCCCCAGATTAAAGTGTTTAATAACTCACTTAACCGAAAGTTTCTACAGTGGTTTTGAGTTATTTATTAATTTATGTACTTTTGTTCATCCAGTGACCTCATAGATAACAAGTCGTATATAATTTATATGTGGTCAGTGGATGTGTTGAGAAATACATAAATGAATTGATAATTCGAAACTGTAGTAGATGCCTTTGTTTAAGTCAGCCATTCAACACTTTATTCTTATTGTCAACAGAACAAGGCAAACTGACCAATATATGTGTCTGCGTCACAGTTCTAGGGAAAAACATTATATGTGCAAGTGTGTGTTTTCACGGCATGGTTCCTATGAAAACACCTCTTTTCATGAGCACATCTGAATAAATTAAAGCTTTATCTTCACCTTTAATTTTTTTTAATTATCAGTGACTAATTTTTTTGGTATCATGCCTGTCCCAAGCCAGGATAAAGGAGGGTGGTGGTGTGGTAGGCGCGTGACGGCCAACATTATCACTTAGTCACATCACATGACATGAATCGAAATATGAATATCCTTTTCTTGTCCGCCTTCTCTTTTTGGCATCGATATCATAGATCGATTCATGTTAGCCGACCCCAAATTCTTTTGGGATTAAGCTTGGATGTTGTTGATGTATCAATGACTAATTTTTATACTTGTTTTTTATGGTCCCTAGTAGAGGTAAAAGTCTAGAGGGGGAATTGTTGCCCAACTGTAGGTCGGAGCTTTCGCGGCACTGAGGTAATGTTTTTAAAACTGAACAGGTTATGTGCTTCGCATTTACAATTATGTCAATTTTCTCACAACACATTATAATTCATACGTTTTCTTTCCGGCCTTTGCCAAGCTGACACTGCATTTATTCCCATTAGCCTGAACAATTTTTTCGTTATACGAAGACGACCAAGTGTTTTTTGTGGTACTATTCCAAATCTGCAGGTTTGTATTATTTCTTGTATGCATTGTAGACTTTCCAAATCTGCAGGTTTGTATTATTTCTTGTATGCATTGTAGCATCAAGTCGTCGTCGTCGTCATCATCATCATCATTATCATTACCCCAGCGCTGCAAAAGCTCCCACCTACGGTGGGGTAGGGGGGTTGGATGTACGCAGTCTTACCCCTGTACTAATGCATCGTAGCATTAAGTAGTTAATGTTTTCTTCCATCTTAATAAGATCTGCCTTGTTTACTTCTGTGCTCAAAGAAAGGGGATATAGTTAAGGAGAAATTATACAAAAGAAGCTAATGACTTTGAAAGGGTCGAATAATTGACAGTATGTTTTGGTCAGTCAAATCCACTCATTAACTAAGTGGCCCTTTTTCATCCCACGACATTTTTGAAGATAAATTTCTGAAATAGGACTAAACATTGACAAAGTGTACAAATAGGATCAAATGAGACTCATGGACTTCTTCCCAATTGATGAAGTTTTTTCATATAATAGTACTCCGTAGTATTTATGCATTTTTATATTAAATTTTAGTCCTATTTAGAGCAATTATTAATTTTGATACATTAATGTGCTTAATTAATGCTAGATTGCTAAAGATTTTTATTTGGACTATTTCCAGTCCCAAACCAAATCAAGGTAGACCAAACTTAAATAGACCAGACTTCCATAATTATAAAATATACAGAGACCATATTTTACTAGACCGGTACAAACTAGATCAGACCAACCAATTTCGGTCCAAGTAAAAACATTCTAACCGTGCCTATCTTACCCACCCACATGATTTACCCACCCACCTTATTTACATTTGTTAGAATCATTGCAATTTCCCAATAAACGTATTGTGGTCTAAGGTTGTTTTTACTTGGACTGTAATTCGTCCCAGACCAGGTCAGACCATATTTTTTTTTATTATCATCATCATCATCATCACCACCATCACCATCACCACCACCATCATCATCATCATCATCAATAATCGCCATCATCATCATTGTTATTATTACTATTATTATTTTTAATTATAAATGAATAAAATATAATTATTTATGGATTATAATATATATAAAAAATAAAATCTTTATGTAAAAAATATAAAAAATGAAATTTAAGACCAAACTAGACCAGACCAAAACAGATCAGACCAGACTAGCAAATTACGGTCCAAGTAAAAACATCCTAATAGTAAGGATAATCTGATCTTTCACGAGTTTAGTGTGATTATGGCCAATCCCTTTATCATTATTAGTTTAGCCATGATCTGGCATTCAGGTCACATGCACACATTTCACCGATTTATTAATTAGCCTGAATGATATGAATTCTTTTTTATGCAAAAAGAGCATATTTAATTATTAAAGTATTTGGCCTAGCTATAAAAAAGTATTTGGCCTCGCTAATCAATTTAGTGAAAAAAAGTTCTGTTTTGCACCTTGTTGAAGGAAATTATGTATTGTGTGCTGTCGTTTAGATAAATTGTGTAATATAGATTATTTTATGTAAATGATGTATTATGGGTCTATTGGTCTATTTTATGTAAGGTGTATTAGTAATGAAGTTATGCAACTATTCTCCCTACCCATGTTTTCAGCACGACTTTAGCCTATTTTGGGTCTGTTTGGATAATAGCGGATTCATGAAACCGCTGTTTTTTTAACTTGAAACCGCTGCTTTTAGCAGCGGGTGGGTGCGGATCCGCCGATAAACAAACAGCACCTTTCTCTCTCTCTGAGATCGATCCAGACCTAGCCTAACTTTCCCTCCGCCGCTGCAAATCAACAACACTGCCGATTTGTTAATTCGCATTTCGCAGGAACCTTCACGTAGCAGATCTGTGCCATGAAGCCCTATAATATTTTTGCCTGTCACCGGAATCAATTTAACCATCACGGATATGCTTTTTTGTTGGACTCTTTAGTTTATTATAATATTTTGTTAAACGTTAAATATCAGCATCTTTGTTTGTGATGAGTTTCGTAACTTCCTTTTTGCGAATGTCTGGCAGAAATGACGGAAATGGTTTTATTAGATCTAAAATATTAGAACCGGGTCAAAAGATTAAACAATCTTACATACTTCATGAGTTCATCTTGGCTTTTAATCTTTATTTACAGAAAATTAAAAGCTAGAATTATAGTCTCTGGTGCAGCTGTTTGGTCATGGGCATGGGCGGATACCTTTTTTACTCTCGCATACATCTTACTTCTCTATGCAGTGCTGTGAGAAGACGAATATGAGAGTATAAATATTGATTGTGCAAATTGGTGTACAAGTTTGATTATGGATGTTTTTTTCTAAAATATTATTAAATTAAAATTCATGAGCAAGAATGTCAAAATTAAGGTTATTGTTTGTATATTTTATGATCATTATTATATAAAATTTGAATACAATTTGCGCTAAAAATTACTAATCATATTTTTTTGCCATCTTCATTTTAGTCATATATTAGATATACTTTAATATAAGTAGCCCAACTCTTGAGTTTCATTTATTAGGAAATAAATTATTGGGATCGTACTAATTGGATATATGTAGGTCTGGACCCGCGCCAGTCCGGTTCTGGTTCCGGTCCGGGTCCGGGCGGGCTTTGTTTCCATTTACTTGGTCCGGAAGTCAGGAAACTGGCCCGGGTTGATACCGGGTCTGGGCCTAACCGAGCCTGGCCGGGTCCGGTTCAATGTTTTATTTTTTTTGGCTTTCTTGTTATCCCCCGACCCCCCCTCACCCCACCCCCAAACCTCCCCAAAACACCCAGCCCTACCTTAGAAAAAGAAAAAATTGAAAAAAGGCTCGGAATCAGCCGGTCCGGTTTAACAAAATGGGGGCCTGTAACCGGCCTGCCAAACCCGCCTAACCCGGGCTAAAGCTTGGAACCGCCCATCCGGGTCCAGTCCGGTCTGGGCCCGTACAGTAATGGGCCGGTTCCGGTCCGGTTCAGCCTGGTTGGGTCCATGCCTTGATATATGCATGTATGAAATTGATTTTGCTTTTGTTTCATTGAAAGTAGTAGTAGAATTGATATCATTTTTTTAGAAACTTTTTCTTCTCCGCTCCTTAAAAACTTTAGCAATTTGGAACACTTTTCTAGTTTTCTCCAAACACTACAATATGTACTACGTATGTTTTTACCCTTTGAAGGAACAAAAATAGTTTTAAAAGTTACATCCAAACACTCCTTTAGTATCATAGATACTCCGTCTCAGTTAATAAAATGTTTTATTTAGGGGTAGATTCAGATGAACACAATCATATATATCAGTTTTAGCAATTTAGCAGTAAAACAAAGTCAAAATTGTTGTGTATGAGGGAAGCATTGGGGCTTAAGTATTGGGCCTTTATGATAAAAATAAATAAATGAAAAAATGTTTGCCTTGATATGGCAGCATCATCTCTCATCAGCAATGGCCAACAACGCAGCTAAAAGCCTTTGGTTGTGTTCCTCCTAAATTTTGAGTTCAAACAAAAATGGAAGCCTTAACGCATCTAAGCTTCAGAGTCTGTCCTCCGAGGCTTGTGCCACCGTCCAACACTAAGAGAATCCACCGTGTCTCTGCCGTCAGCGGAGGAGCTAACGGTGCCCCTGCCACCTTCTCTGCCAGCAAATGGGCCGACCGCCTTCTCGCCGATTTCCACTTCTTCCCTTCTTCTACTTCCGACCCTTCAGAACAGGAACGTTCCACTGCTACTCTCACCCCCCCGCTTGACATTCCGGAGCGCCACGTCTCATTGCCTATAGACTTCTACAGAGTGCTGGGAGCTGAAACTCACTTCCTAGGAGACGGTATAAGAAGAGCCTACGAGGCGCGCATTTCGAAGCCGCCGCAGTACGGTTATAGCGATGGAGCTCTGATTAGCCGCCGCCAGATTCTTCAAGCTGCTTGTGAAACCCTGGCGGACCCTAGCTCCCGCAGAGACTACAACCAGGGTCTTTCAAACCATGAATTCGATGCCCGTCTTACTCAAGTTCCATGGGATAAGGTACATTTCTATCTCCTTCAATATTAGCTCTTTACTTCGGTGTCATTCTATTCTGTTTCTCTTTCGCAACTGCCTGCACTCTGCAGATTTTGAAAATTAATTGCAAAGTTAAAATAGAGCTAAGAGTCTATGGTGCTCCTTTTTAGGTTGCAGGAGCATTGTGTGTGTTGCAAGAATCAGGCGAGACCGAGATTGTTCTTGAGATAGGGGAAAGTTTGATGAAGGAGCGGCTATCTAAGTCATTCAAGCAAGATGTGGTCTTGGCAATGGCTCTAGCCTTTGTTGACTTATCTAGAGATGTAATGGCATTTTCTCCACCGGATTTCGTTAAAGGCTCTGATTATCTTGAAAGGGCATTAAAGTTACTACAGGTACTGATTTCTGTTGCATTTTAGAAAAGTACCCCTTTCTTGGTATTTCAGGATGAGATATGAAAGGATAATGCCCTGGTTTAGAAAATATCAACTTACAGCTTCCTAAACACTGTGCTCTTCAGTCTGCACATATGGCAGAGCAAAATCACTACTTTTGGAAATTCAATGTTTTTAGGATCTGTTTTTGATGATTAAAGGGGAAAGCTTTGGAGGGATTAGTTTATATTTCACTATATATTTCCCAATCACCTTATGTTTATTTCTGGGGGAATTTGATGTTGCACCATATTTTTTGGGTGATATTGGACTTTGTGCTGCATTTTTAGATTCATTAATGTGTGCACCCCGTTTAGCATAAAATCATTCCCTCACAATTTTTGGGCTGATGATGTGCATACATTAATGATTATGAAGTGAGGTGCTAAGTTGAATATAGCCCAAGGAGTGTGGTGGAAAGTCAAATTTCTCCTTTATTGCTAGATTAGACATATTTTCGATTCAAACAAACCCTTGGTATCTTCTTATACTCAAAGTTTCAACTACTTCTGAGCTTTTTGGGTTGTAACTTGTAAGGCATCTCTGATTTCTATAGGATGCAATTAGGGTTCATATTTATGCAATGTTGGCGTAACCATGCAGTTAAAATGAACAGGAAGAAGGTCCAACTACCCTTGCCTCTGACCTACAAGCACAGATAGATGACACATTGGAAGAGATAAGCCCTCGTTGTGTCCTAGAGCTTCTTGCTTTACCACTTGGTGAAGATCATCAGATGAAGAGGTCAGAAGGTCTTCAAAGAGTACGTAATATTCTGTGGGCTGTTGGAGGAGGGGGTGCAACTGCCATTTCAGGTGGTTTTACACGAGAAGGTTTCATGAATGAAGCTTTCCAACACATGACGGCAGCAGAGCAGGTGATTACTGGAAATCTCATGTAAAAATGAAGTATCCATAAAAAATCTCATGAAGGAGTATTTATTTATTATGTTGATTGTGTAAACACTTTTAAATCATATTTATTTATAAATATATGCATATTTTTATTTTAATTAGTAATCATATTTTTATTTCAAGCAAACACTAAACATGAGAATTACTTTCCCTCTAGGTTATGTTTGGATCTTGGGAAATGCTAGGAAGAGGGGGGAAATTGCGTGCAAAGTTATTTTCTTGTGATTGGTCTTACAATGAGAAATGGAATATGATTACAACAACAACAACATCCAAGTCTTATTCCCAAAAGATTTTGGGGTCGTTTAACATGAATTGATCAATGATATCAGAGCCATTACATGCGTTTTGTTTGTCTCCCGCTTTCTCTTTTTTGTTTGGTTTTTAACTTCTATATCATACGTGGATTCATGTTAGCCAAATAGCCGACCCCAAATTCTTTTGGGAATAGGGCTTGGATGTTGTTGTTGATATGTTTAGTTTTCATAGTATTGATATAAAAGAGATAGATATATACTGTAAGTTTCAACGAATAAAAAAATAAATTTGTTGAGTTTGAACAAAGAAGAAGCAATATTTTCCATCACATTCTCTTTCCTTCCAAGCTTTCCCTATAATTTCCTTCTTATTGTCTTTCCCTAGGAGTTTCCAAGTTTGAAGTGGAGGCTTAAATTTTATTTCCTTTTTCCTTGCATTTTAGCGGCATCTAAACATACTCTTTTTAATGGTTCATTTGTTGTGAAAGGTTGATCTTTTTGTTGCTACTCCAAGTAACATACCTGCTGAAAGTTTTGAGGTCTATGGGGTAGCACTTGCACTCGTTGCTCAAGCTTTTGTTGGGAAAAAACCTCATCTCATCCAAGATGCTGACAACCTTTTTCAACAACTCCAGCAAACAAGAGCGAGAGAGAATCTTGAAATAGACTTTGCGTTAGAGAGGGGACTTTGCTCACTTCTTGTGGGAGAAGTTAATGAATGCCGCTCATGGTTAGGCTTAGACAGTGAGGACTCGCCATATAGAGATCCGTCCATTGTCACTTTTGTTCTAGAACATTCCAAAGATGACATGGAGAATGATCTGCTTCCTGGACTTTGCAAGTTGTTGGAGACATGGTTGCTGGAGGTTGTGTTTCCCAGGTTTAGGGAGACGCAATCTTTGCAAGTCAAGCTTGGGGACTATTATGATGACCAAACAGTTTTGAGATATTTAGAGAGAATCGAAGGGGGTGGCGGGTCCCCTTTGGCTGCCGCTGCTGCTATTGCGAGAATTGGGGCTGAAGCTAATGCAGTAATTGGTAGTGTGAAGGCTAGTGCCATTCAGGCATTAAGAAAGGTTATTCCTTTTGGTGATGAGCTAATAAGACGTGCCGAAACTACTTCTCCTGAAAATGTCATAGTTAGTTTTTCTGAGGGGTTACCACAACCTTCTAATGATAATGATGAGGAGATTGATATGATCACTGAGAAAATAAAAGATTTGGTTGTTAAGATTACATCTGCTGGTGTGGTTGTTGGTTTACTGACATTGATTGGACTGAGGTTTTTACCACATAGAACTGAAAATCGTATTCTCCAACAAAACGATGGCGGATCAGCTATGATTTCTGATTCTGTCACCAGAGGTAACCCATAGTAATCTATTCTTACATTATCTACATTTTGTGCCGCTATAGTTCATTTTTAAGAGAAGTGACTGCATTAGTTTGTTGTGTACCCCCCCCCCCCCCCCCCCAAAAAAAAAAAGAGCATGGGTTTACAAAAAGTAGTCCAGGGAAACTCTTACACTATCGTATTTCATAAAACCGGAGCTAATTTTTTTAAAAAGTTAAGAACAAGCAAAATATGATAAATTTAGTGAAACTGAAAGTTATATTTTAACATTATAACTAGTATTTTTATGGGTTGTAGCTTGCCAAAGCTCAAAAGTTGTGCCTTGACCGGGCATTACTTTGGGGAGGGGAGCGGGGGAGACCGTTAATAATATGTCTATGTTGATAAGAGCAAGTTGTGAGTAGATCAGCAGGTGTCTATTATGTACCGATATCTGGACTTTGTTTCTTCCTTGATGATTTGCAGAGCCCTCAGTTGATGAGATATCGGAGGAAGTTCCTAAAATGGATGCCAGATTTGCGGAAAGCCTGGTTCGCAAGTGGCAGGATATTAAATCTCAGGCTCTGGGCCCCAATCATTGTCTTGAGAAGTTATCAGAGGTGAAACAACACTTGCACACACCTTTTGTGTTGTTGGAGCACAGCTGTTGATCGCGATCAGATGGACGTTGAATGGCTGAGATTGTGATTGATGGCTGTGATTCAACTCCACGGGTGCTGTAGCAGCACCACAAAAAGGGAAAACTTGAGAGTTTTAAATGAAACAGTGTTATTTTTTAGATGGCTTAAGTGGTTGAAATTAAATAGTGACATATCTAACTTCACTTTCTAGGTATTATTTTAGTGAATTAAGTTGGGAAAATATATAAATACAAGTGAATTATAATTTTAATAGATAATTCAGAAGATTTAGTCATTGAAACCACAACTTTAGCAAATTTTAAACAGCATCAGCCATTTAGGCTTTGATAAAATGTGCTCTTAATTTCCCTGAGAGATTCTTATTCACTTGGTCTTCACTATCACCAATCTACCTACTGAAGGGGTAAAGTTCATTTATGGGCAGATCTTGGATGGTCAGATGCTAAAAGTGTGGACAGACCGGGGAGCAGAAATCGCACAACAGGGCTGGTTTTGGGGATATACTCTGCAGAACCTTACCATTGATAGTGTTACTGTTTCAGTTGACGGGCGGCGTGCTATAGTGGAAGCCACACTGGAAGAATCTGCTCAGCTGACGGATTCGGCTCATCCCGAGCACAATGACTCATACAGTACAACGTACACAACAAGATACGAGTTATCATGTGGGAAATCAGGATGGAGAATTGTAGATGGAGCCGTCCTCAAATCTTAAACACTGTGGGGGTGTACATTTAGGCTTATTTTTTGTGTGTAAATTATGTCCCGGTTATTATTTTACTCCATATAAAACTCGAATTTGCCAGAATTCATACCGACTATCTTTCCCATGTTCTCCGTAGGGCTTGTTTGGACTTTGGATCCCAGAAAATGCTAGGGAAATGAAAGAAAATGTTAAGAAAGAGGAATTTTATCAATCTGGAAACATGAAAGATAGGTGAATTATCAATTTGAGTCTTGAAAGATGAAATGTGCCAACATAGGATTCGAATGATTGAGAACCACTACCTCCGTCCTAGTAACATTGGGACAAGACAAGATGAGGTGACATGATTATTAAGAAAAGTGAGTTTATGTGTTTGATATGGAATTGATAAAATAAGAATAAAGTAAAAATGATTTATAGTCACTTAAACTTTATCAAATTTGATATGAAATAATCTTAATGGAATTTCCTGGAAGGGTAAAATGAGACAATCTTAAAGGAATGATGAGATACCATTTTAGGACAAAAAATTCCATAGGTTTTGATAAGTATTTAATTTTATATTTCCATTGTTAATTTTTTATGAATCCTTTTTCACTAAAGTTAATTAGTTTTATAAAATTAAATAACATTTTAAAAATTTAAAATAGAAAATAATAAATTTAATGACAAATTAGGTCCTTAATCAGTAAATTGATAGTTTTCAATCATCCAGGACTTGTACCGATAGATTTATTTTTCAAGTCCCGGATTGATAGTCCATGTATCGTTTGGGTCCTGGAGCGATAAATTACTTTCCTTTCTTGTGTCAGGTCTTACAAAAATGGAAATGAAAATAAAATTCCTTTAGTGTTTCATAATATTATTTAATTTACATATTTTAATATTTTTCAATAATTATATTATTGAAGTTTTAAAAGAATGAACTTGTACCAAGTATAAAGATAACTTATTTACCTTTTAACCGATGTTTCTTTTCATATCAATTTCTATGAAAGGATAGACCATGTCTCTTAAATTTGATTTGAAGGAAAATTACCCAAAATAGGAGCAAATGACATTTGGAATTTCAAAAATAGGACTAGTATATTTTTCTTTCTGAAATAGGTGTTATTACTGTCATGTATGAAAAATACAGTCATAATTGAAAAATATTGTCATTAATTATAATAAATACTGTCATGTTAAATGCACTGTACTGCAACTATTTGGCAGTCACGGCTACAAGATGACAGTAAATACTGGCATGTTAGTCCCATTTCGGAAATAAAAACAAAGTAGTCATATTTTAGAATTTCAAACTTCATTTACTCCTATTTTGGGAAATCTCCCTTTATTGAATGGTGGTGGTGATCAAAGGTATTTTCTTTCCTTGTTATGTATTCTTGGGGTCTCCTTTTATAGTTTTTTTCCACTTGCTTAAATTTTCACTTTGAACTTTTCATGAAAGAGAAATATACTTTGTACTTCATATTAGTGATGGAATCAAGGTAAGAAAAGGGAAAAAGAAGAAGTGTGAGTAAAAAGAAAGTAAACAGAAAAATTAGTAGAGTGAAAAATATCTTTTATAAGTAGGGAATTGATCCAAAAAAATATAAAAAATGGAAGAAGAAAAAGAAGGATAAAGGAATACATAACATGAAAAAAATGAAAAGAGAAATTCTATTTGCATCATTCACATCGCTAAATACAGCCCCAAAATAAATCATTATAAACAATACGTAGTATTATACTCCGTACTAAGTAACCAATTTGCCCTTGAGAAAGAACAAGAGAAATGGTTCTAAATAGGACCAAAATATACTTAATATACCTTAATAGGACTTAAAATGCTTTTTATACCTAAATAGGACTAAATTTTTGTTGCCTCCCTAAACTACCCCTGCATCCCGACACGAGAGAGAATGGGTTGGGAATAGCTCGCTGCACTGCACCACCAATCTACTGATGACCTTTACCCGGCCAGACAGTTGATCACTTGATCTTCTTTTTTGGATGAAATGTAAATATATATTAACACCCTGGAAAACTATACATCAAAAGTTCTAGATCTCCTAAAACCTCCCACCCTTACGTAGCGTAGGGGTTAGGAGAGGTTTTTGTTTGATCTAATCAAAACTAAAAAGGGCCTAAGTATACGATACTAAATGTCCCAAAAGCTCAAAAACAACTTGGTGCTGCAAGAGTGCACGCACACAGATCCACAAATCTAAACCCCCACCCCCACCTTTCGTATGAAAAGGAGAGGGTTGGTCGGAGGTTATAATCTAGTCTAGGTCCACAATTCGCAAGAAATATGTGGCCAAAAAGGTCAAAATTTATGAATGGTGCTGCAAGGTGCATACACATAAATCCAGTCTATGCCCATGTCGTGGCATCCAAAAAAGTCCTTTGACACAGATCAAAAGTTGATCATCTCATGTGGGTATATGGTGTAGAGAATCTTATATACCACATGCTTGATCTTTGCAATCACATCATCCTCAGTCTTTGTTCCTTCGTCAAATCGAATCTCGTTCCTCGCATGCCAAATGTAGTAGATCGCGGCATAGAATGCTAGACGGACAGCCTTGGCCTTCATCATTGATCCCTTGTGTGCCTTTGTGATCCACTTGATTGAGCTAAGCATTGTTGTCATTTTCCGCCCAAGTCCAATCCAATCTTTGATCACGTCCCATACCTTACAAGAAAATGGACAAAGAAAGAATATGTGTGGAATTGTTTCCAATCCACCCTTACACAAGTCACACCTATTAATCATATGGAGGTAACCGAGGCTATCCTATGTGAAAAAATCTCCCTGTTTTACATTTTCAGTTGGGAAAAATCATGGACATTTTATTTAAAGTGCATGAATGAGTGGGGTTATAATATCCAAGTTACATTTTCTTTGTACTGTAACATTGACATGTTTCTAGTTTGTATGAGCAAGTGGTCTAATTATGTATATACTCAATTAATCATGTGATTTTGTTGTAACATTGACGTATTTTCTATCTTTTAATTATGACAGACATATAATGACATTGTTAACATTCTCACAATGATTTCTTTTTAATAATGTTTACAATAATGTCACATTGCCATTATTTTTAACAATGTCATTTTTCTAACATTGGCATTGTCAAGACAATTTCATTGACACCGTCACGACAATGTCATTGACACTGTCATGACAATGTCATTAAAATTGTGTCATTTTGATGTCATTTTTATAACATTGGCATCATCATTGTATGAAATTGTGACACTTTTTTGACATCCTGACGTTTTCATATATTTTGACAATATTTGCGATATTGGTAGATTATTTATTTTGTTAACATATAACAAAATAACATTGACATTTGTCAAATAATGACATTAATTTATAAACAATGACATCGTATTACATTGTTATACAATGACATTGATTGAGAAGGTCTGGGAAGGTCTGGTTGGAAGAGACGTTGGGGATGAGGCCATTGGGAGCATGACGGAGACGTGGAGGTCAGATCCTTGAAGATATTTGAGGATATCCAGGTTCACATCGTAGATCTTGACCTGCTCCGCCTTGAGGCCATTAATGAGCTCCGCAGATTTCCTGGAGCTGCTCCTGTCCGGACTTGCAATTACTCTTGTCCAGGGGTATTTTTGTCTTCACGTTCAAATTAAGTCCTATTTAGGAGTTGAAAACTTGGAACTCCTATTTCCATTCCGAGTTATTGATTTAGTCATATTTGAGTCTTATTCCCAAAGAACAACCACCCAACAGTGACGAGTGGTGGTGGTGATGGCTTAACAGCACTAAAGTCCGGACCAATATCTACCATCCAAGTAAGCCTTAATCTCGTTCATGCAAGACTCTATCTCCTCCAGAGCATCCCTACACCCGGGTGAATCAATTTCCAACCGGCGTTTGGTTCAAGAACTAACGGCCGACGGTAACACAGCGTGAATATCTCTGACTCTCTTCGTAAAACAGAAGAAGCACTATTTAAAGTCAGACACTTTCTTGTGAATTCTCTTAACCACTATCCTTCTAATCTATGTTTCTTTTCTGTTTTTATTTTTGGAAGTTGATTTTGATTATTTTATTATTTCAATCAATTGTCTGGACTTCGGAAGTTTTAAATCCATCTAGTTTTTTTTATCTGCACCTCATCTCCAATTCAAGATGAATGGAGGGAAGAAGATGTGTATGTATTGGTTTAAGTAGTGGAAGAGTAATTCAAGAATATAAAAAATATAGTCATTTACATTTAATATTGTGGTTGCGAGTATTCAAAGTTGGGCTGCAAATAGAATTCCCCAAAATAAAAATAATGTTGGGATATTGATCTAGAGGCCCAATACCCAGATCAAAAAGGCTCAAGATACCCGGCCCAAACAACGAGCCCATCACTCTATGATGAGTAGATCCAGTGAAGAATCCATACCGAATGGGGTTCGGTCCGAGTAAAGGCCGGCCGGCCCAGAAAGAAGATATACCGAACGGAGTTCGGACCATATCATACTTGGGGCAATTTGGCAGCGTCTTCAGCATGGTCTTACATCCCGTTCGAGCAACGGACAACCAGCAAGTGGCCAGGTGCAATTAATGCCAGATTGTGACATCAGCAAGTGGAAACATGGGTGACCAAGTCGGTGGAACAACGGTCAATCAGCATAGAGCAGCTCATGCTCTCCATTAGTATAAATAGAAGGTTTAAAATCATTGTAAGGGTTAGCATTTCAATACTCAGGCTCTAGAATAGCATTATTACTCTTGTTTCTTGTATTAAAGCATTATTCCGACCTACCGATCGGGAATTTCCTTGTAATCAGACAGGTTAATTAATACAAGTGAGCTTTTGGGTATTAGTGAGTTCATATTTTATATTTTTGCTACACTTTGATTCTGGTCCATTCCTGATATATCCAAAGTTTGTGTTGGGCTTTCGGATCTATGGGACTTACCTTCAACATTGGCGCCGTCTGTGGGAAACTGTTCAAAAAGTTTCACATTCAATTATCCTAAAACAACTATTTTCAAAAATGGTCAGAATCAGTTCTTATCACACAAACAATGGTTCACGCCGTCACGGAAGGAGTCACACCCCGGGAAATCAAACCCCTCAAGGACAATCCAGTCGAGGATCATATCCACATTTTGATGGGGACTTTGTTATTCCTGAAGCTCTACGAAGGAATCCTCAGGCCATGCGAGATATGGCCCAGGTCATGCACCACATGACAAACGAGGAAGAAGGATGATCCAATTTTAC